TATAGTCCCCCCCCTTCAGCAGTGAAAAAACTGAGCATCTCCATCTGGTGAAGGAGGTAAAATGGAAGTAGAGGAAAGTGAAAGAACAATCTACATTATAACAAATCTTCTATCCGACCCCCCATCCACCGCTAAAATACCACATGGCTCCATTTATTACTGGCATCTCCACTTGCCATATACCAAATAAATGTTAATTCTGTGTAAAAGGAGTCTCTACCCTTGCTGAAGAGGTAGAGGATTTGGGTCTTAAAGAATAACTCAAAAAGTTGAGAAGTTACACTAAGCCACTGTTAGTGTAATTTTGCATGTTTCTTGAGATTTTCTTTGGCTATCAGCAGGGAGTAGAGATGTAAATATTGTTTTAAAAATTATCCTTTTAACCTCTTCTAATTATAATGGTTAAACAGTTAACCAATAACAGAGCTGCTGCTGGGAGCCACTCCTGGGGCCTTTTGGGTTGGTAATGCAGTGGCAAGCCCAGCCAGATAACATAGCCCAAATGAAGCCCCTAGGTTGGGAGGGAGGGAACAGCACCTGTGAATGAGCAGCTCACTGCTTAGTTGACAAGTCATTAAGCTGCCTGTTGTTTTCCTTTTTAACCTCCTAGGCTAGGGTACTACTCTCCGCCTCACACCTTCCCCTCCTCCTCCCTGCCCTGCAGCCTTCCAGTTCCTGCTGGGTCACTGCGTGGCTTCCTCGCCTCCCTTTCCCTGCCAGATGGGCACACTAAACAACCAGTAAGCTAACCAGTTGTCACCAGGCTTACCAATTAATTATTTACCTTTCAACATCCCTAGCAGAAATATTACAATTACATCCCATCGGTAACATTGAAGCCTTAAGTAAAACTTACTTTCCTTCCTCGTCTACTTCGGCTGGTGCATTACCCAGCTTTCTCTGTTCTTCTAGCTCCTTCTTCTTCCTCCAGTCCTCTCTTGTCATCTTCTTTGGCTCTTCCAAGCCCACATCATTCGAACCTCCCGGAGGAGTAGAGGCTATTACAGCTCCAGATGCCATGGTCTTTTCTCCTGCAAACACGTACAGACGTACTGAAAAGGACAATTTCTGGCATTACGAAAACTGAACAAAATCCATTTCAACCCGTTGTTTTACATCACTGCCCTTTACCTTTATTCACTGCACTTAGCGCCTTCCAGCTTCCTAGTTACAATTCCCAAGAGAGAATTTTACCCCACGGCCGGCTGGTCTGGACTGGGGGGAGGGGCTTCCTCTGTAGTGAGGCCTGGCCCCATTTTGGGGATTCCTCCATGGGGGCACGATTCCACTAATGCCAACTCCCATGAGAAAAAAAATCACGTTTTCCGAATTAAATGAACTTGGACTCGTGATCTCCTGATGGAGAGATCAACTCCCGGGATTTTTCCTCCTGGCGCGTGCAGACAGCGGCGAGGCG